GCCTGAGGGGGAGGTGGATGAAAGGTCCCTCGTGCTTGTGGGCGTGGCAATGGTGATTGGCTTGGTGGACCAGAGGCCTGCGCGGGAATCACGAACGTCAAAGGGGTCGGTGGGTGTGAGGGGTTGCGAAGAAGGAGAGTTTGGAGTGCGGGATGACGAGTTGGAAGAGCCTGGTGAAGGAGAGGCGAAGATATTGTCAGAGGCAGAAGAAACCGCAGAGGGTTGTGGTGGTGGTGTTGTAGTGGTGAAAGAGGAAGCCGACGCACGATAACTAATATTATCGGCGCTGGCGCAGTCACTTCTGCTGGGCGTGCGCCTGGGTTCGCTGTTGTGGGCGGCGGCGGCGGTGGACCGGGTCGACGGGTCCCTTGGGTCCTCGGTACTTGTTGGGTTGAACCAGCGAAGGGCGCTCCTCATGTCAGCTAGAAGTAGCCGTTGTATTGGGGGTTAGGCAGGGGATCCGTGGCTCCCAGAACGTTTCTCGACCCTTTTTGTGGGTACTTATTAAATCGGGCCACTGAATGCAGCCGGCGGATGCGCCCCGAAAAAGGAGATCGAGTCCGCGTCTCGACTAGCAGCGCTGCCGCTGTAATGTGTCAAGTGAAAAAAGAGGGGGGAGGGTGTGTGTGTGTGTGTGTGTGTGTGTATCCGTATAGAGTAAGTGTGTATGCGCAGTGTTTATGTGCTGCACCTCGTTTCTTTCCTCTCTCCTATTCCTGTTGGTTTTTTTTCTTTGGTTTGGTGTCTCTGCAGATTCTGGGGAATAGACAGAGAATGTGAGGGGAGGGGCGGACTCGGTGCAAAAGGTAGGTGCTGGATGTCTTGAATACGATTTGCTGGGGGTATTGCGGCGGTGGCAGGTCGAAGCTTAAAAAGTGATGGTCCAAGTACCTTTTCCCGTAAAGTACCTTGGGCAATGAAAGGTTGGGAGGTACCTGATGGAACCGTTCGTGGTGGCCGTAGTGTTGATGTACCACACTTAGGGAGGCGAATAAAGGTGGGCTGGGGACCGACCGAGGATGGTGGATGAGTAGGTAGGTAGGTATTCCGGCGACGGCGACGGCGCGTGGTATTGGTAATGACCTCTAGAGGCGCGTTCAAAGGTCGGAGGCGAAAATCGAGTGCGCAAGTCTTCCGCTTCTTAGTGGTTTCTAATATCGAAAGACGAGCTATTTCCGGAAGGCTGTGGAAGTAATGGTGACGGTTGGATGATGCTATCTCCGAAAAAGTTGCGACCGGTCTATGTCCGCGGAGTGCTAACAGCGATGTTGGGTGAGGCTTCGAGCTGATGAGGGTTGACCATCGAAGAAGACTGTCAACTATCGAGGCGAACCAACGGATCTTGTAGTCTTCGAGCGGTTGCTTGGGTGTTGTCGATGTTGTTTATTATGATTATAAGGAATCGTCTTATAGTCTCGACAAGGGGTTGTTGGAGTGGGTATTGGTACTGATTGCTGTGTATTGTTTCTTCTGTCGACAACACCAGACAGTAGATGGACGATGGCCTCGGAGGCTAGAGATGAAGTGGAAGCAAAGGTAGTATAAATGTATGACTGATATATCTGGGGAAACAGATCCGGGACGAAGTCAAGAGCAGAAGCACAACAGATGTTGAGAACGAGAGCCAGGAAGGGGACGGGGTTATGAATAAGAAGGCAAGCGGTATGATGTAGGAGATGTGCATGCGTTGACTCGACACAAGAATAATCCGGGTTGTCCTGGCGCGAGAGTCAAGGTACTTGACCTGGTCAGTCCGGGCTCTAGGTTGATCGGTCCAAGGGCACCTTGGGAAGTTGGGACTTGGGGAGGAGGAGGAGGAGGGTATCTGTAGGATAAGGTAAGGCAGAGCACGGAACTTGGAAGGCGCTTGGAAGGCGGTCCCTCGACGAAAGCTCGGCCGATGTTTGGGGGTGGGAAAGTGTGGGAAGGTTTTGGGGGTGTCATTGACGACCGGGGGTCCAGTCCATAGTAGCACCTTATTGTCCGTCTGTCTGTCTTTCTGTCTGGCGCGGTTTGCCCATGAAGGGTTGGCTGCCATCTACTACTGACTGTCCGAACGTAAGGTACGGTGGTTGAGGCAAGCTGAAGGTATACCGGAGAAGGGATAGAAAGGCAAAGCAAGAAGCCGAGAGGGAGACCAATCGTCTTGTCTCGGACTGACAGGCACACCGATGTTGAGCTACACCTTAGACTTTTAGGACTCCCAGATCCAGATGGGAGTTTGCTGCAATAACACACACACACCACTCACACACTCACCACCACCATGCTGGCTACCTGAGTACTTTCCTACTGGGACCGCAGATATTGGGCCTGAGCCCAACTTCAGGCACGGGCGAGGCAGAGAAAGACGGGGGAACACGGGCGAATGGCACCACACAGACACACACCCTAACGGCCGATGACTATTAGTGTGACTCCTCGACGACAAACACTGCTCTCTATAACCATCAAATCAAAGGCAAATAAGCCCCAAGTGTCTGATCTGGTCCGATGTACCGGTCATCGATGTTTCCTGGGGTACGGAACAGAGTAAGACAGACAATTGTACCGTTTGCTTTGGGGTGTTTGTGTGATTTAGCATTTGCCTCAATGTTGATATTCGGGCAAGGTATCCGTACTGACTGTGCAAGGCGGGCAGTGGAGGACATTTTGGAGAGAGGGCAAGTACAAGGTGCCTTGTACCTGTCTACACAGGTACCTACCTTACATACCGTTCCTCACCTTCACCTCAACGGACGAACTCGGCTTGCCACGCTCCTTCCTTCCCGTCGTTTATTTCGTTCCCAAGTAACTCGTCTTACAGACTTCCAACGAGCTGATTAGAACAGGTAGGAAGGCACGCAGTGCGGTAAGCGCTCCTGCTCCGCGCTCCGCATGAACGATGTAGGCAGCGCCGACAGGAAGGAGGCAGGAGATGACACCGGGCAGGCAAGTGCGTCCTGGGTCAGACGATCTTCTCGACGAATGGCAGGAGCGGAAAATGTAAGGTAAAGGCAAGGCAACGGCCATGGCAAGGGGACTTACTTGTACTTCACCTGAGGCAGGCGTGGCACGATCCACCGAGGAAGGAACAACAGACGAGGAAAAAGCAACAAGCCGACCAGCTGGCGCCCCAGGGGACCTGTGATTCCACTATTTCAACTCTCCATTCTTGCTCTCGAGTCTCGAAGGAGGACAAGGGCGGCACCGAGGTCGAAAAAGAAGCAATAATGAACAGGTGAAGACGAGGGACTGCCTGCGTGCCTGCCTGCAACGATTTTTAGCGCTTGTCTTGAGGCGGATACCGTACGGCAAGGTACGTAATGGCGGATATCCCCTTCTCCTACCTGCGAAGATTCGTACCAAGTTGAGTAAAGCCGAGAATAACACACCTCGTTCATGCTTCAACTCTTTTCCCGCCGCATAACGGCCTGGCGTTTACTGTGATCAACGGTGATCAAGAGACCGGAAACAAGAGACGAGTCTCGCTTTCGCTACGGTGTTCTGTACAGTCCATCCGTTCTCGAACGCATTTCTGCCATGCTGGATACCTCATCGCACACATCCATCACACTGCATCGAATCGTTCCTAGATCAGCTTGTTGCCACACGGCCAGCGGCGTCTGTCGACATGTGCCGGTACCATCCCGGCCGGCCCCCAATCATGACCCATTGGTCCCTTGGCCTCCCCTTTCGACACTACGTCCCAGGCTAAGTCCTGTCGACGTCTGACACAGGCTGTCCTAGCGCAACGACTTACATGATCCATGATCAAACGCTTCTTATCCACCGTCTATTTTCCGCTGTTCCCACCCACGATAGCCCATCTTAACTCTCCAAGGAAGGAAGGAAAAAGTCACATACAGCAGATACCACGGGGGGGATATGAATCCCGTGTCAGAGAAGAAGGCCTCAAGCACAGGGGACGGAGCAGGATCCAAACCGTTACGTGATCGACCCAGTCTCTTGGGCACGTTCTGGGAATCGAGCAAGGTCATGGTTACTGTGTTAAATGGAGCCGTCAAGCCTGTCTGCCCACCATATCCACGCCAGGCCACATGAGATGCCTACATTCGACGGATACGTACTTGGATTGATAGGACTATTTCATCACCTCTCATCTCCTATACCGTCAAGTCACGCACGGGCACGATTCAGGATGCCAAACATGGACCAGTAAGTCTATCTACTTCGAGTAACCCGGAGCGCTGGGTCGGAGTCCTGCAAGACAACGAAAGGCTGGTCAAACTGGTTGTTGGTGCGAATGCACTCTACGAATACCAGTATGAAGTACAGGACTAGCACCACTGGCCTCCGCTGAGAGGCTGGTTGGTGGGTGAGCTGCGCCGGCCCTGCGCCTGATCGTCAACCTGCCTTGCCGATGAGGACGTCACCAGCCGCAGGCCAATCGCAGGTGTCAATTATCCGACCATCGACGATGCCCCCAAGCAACGTACTCAGACATAGGTATTGGAGGCTGCTACTCCAACTCGTCTCCCAGGGCTTGTCCGCAGATGCGAGCTGCGAGCAATGTGCCAAAAAAGACCCAATATTGATTTTCGTGGCAGTTTCTCATACAAGATGAGCTCCGCAAGAAGCACCGGCCGGCAACAACGTCTAAACAGAAAATCAACGTCAGCGAGCCACGAATTGCCCAGAATTATTCTTTAGTGGTGGATCTTACGGTACCGACGGATGGAGATGCCACGAGATGACTGGACAAGGCTGCCGCACACCCGCCTCTAAGCTGCCATGCTTGACTCATAGCCAGACATTTAGTGTCGGGGACAGGCCTGCTTGGCCACCCCATGCTCCATGTCAAAGTCTCCTGCACACATCGGCCACTACCCGTCCTCGGTGATTGACCGTCTTCAACAACAAAGAAGAGATGCAGGATTATTGCTGAAAGTAAAGTGCACTTTGCTGCGAAGATAAAAAAAACTAAAGCGATGGCTAGATCATTGCAGGGCTTTCCGAAGTGGCCGAGTCAATAGTAAATCCCAACTATCAGACTGAAAGAAAGTGGGAGGCTACGGAAGGGGTTCCGAATCCTTGGTGTGCCAACCATCACCACCCCAGCAGACCTCTCCAGTAACCAGATCCAAGAATCGATTCCGGTCTGTCACTTTATTACACAGCAGAAGAGAGAGAGGGAAAGGGAATGCGCCTCGGACGATGCCTGCTTCCTACCTTACTGCGGTAGCTTCAAGCATATGACGACGGTCAAGCACTCAAGGAACTCAAAGCGAGCCCAAGGTGACATCCGTGGAAATTCCCAAGAAGTCTGTGGGAACGTCGGAAAAGAAAGTGGCAGAAACAGGGTCTCTCTCAGCTCCGCAACCTCCGGCCCGCAGCGAGGAAGGCGGTCTGGTTTTACAATACTTCCATGTCTGCTTTCGGGGTCCTGGGCTGGGTGCCTTACCCACGATGTTTACCTCATGGTGGAGGCAATGGCACGCTGGCACGGCTGGGAATGGGAACACGGTGCAGCGAATACATGCAGAAGCGGAACAGAAGCAACACCCCACCACCGACGCCGGTCCACTCCGGACCCGACGAATGACAGTTTCGACAATGGCACCCCCAAAGGCCAAAGACGCAGCCAAGTCCAGCGTCGGGACGCCAGGTCTGTGCCTCGCTACGATATCCTTGCTAGCCGCAACAACTAAAACGAGCCTAACGCTCGCCGTGCACACCCTGCTGCCTTTTCCCAGAATTCGCTCCCGCTCCGGATGAATTCACCGTCGCATGGGTGGGCTGCGCGAGGCACTTGACACTTTGCTACTCAGGGACATGGTTCCTAGCGTTGGCTGACTGGCAGAAGCAGAGGCTGGCAAACCCCAAAGCCGCCTACGAACACCGCTCCTTAGCGCCGCATGCCTGGATCCCAATTTCGCCGACATTTCTGACCTGTCTCAGAGAGGAGGACCGTTTGTAACGAGCAGTCAATCGTCACTACCGCAACTGAGAAGAAAGGCGGTGTGGGACGTTTCTCACGGACGCTTTACCTACCACGGTAGACGACCGCTTACGATCTACAGCGATTCCGCACAGATGCGCATATTCCCTGGCCCATCAAGCACAAAACATGGCCGCATCTGAGGAGACCGAGGCTTTTCATTTCGCCTGCAGACTGATAAACGAGTTGCAGTCAGAGGAAGCTCCAGACAACTTACAAGCAGAAAGAGATCAACTTTCGTCCGCAGCCGCCGGTAGCGAGAATCAACAAACGCATACACCCATGAATATCTCAAGACTAAAGTACCGCTGCAACCGGCGCCCCGTTATACTCGATGCATCATTTTCTCGCCTCGAAAGCTTTGGGATAGCCTTTCCCCCCTTGCTGGGGCTCGCCGCAACCTTCATCTCAGACAGGATGAGCTTGAATTGGCAAAGCGTTGAACCAACTTTTCTGCCATGGTTTCCTCCCGAGACTGAGAGTCGACAGGCAACGTGGTGCAGGGCAGTGGACCAAAAGAGTCGTAGATCTCCAGGGGATTGACTCGCTTGCCATCTCTCCATCAGATGAAGTGCACATGGGCTTCGAAGCGTGCCCGTAAGCTACCGGATCTCTGTGCGATCTTGAGTTTACACCTCGATCTCGAACCCATCCACTTCACTCCTACCTAGGCTGCACCCTCGACGATATGCCCCGCTGTCGACCTACGCTGCATGTGATGGCCGTGGCCAGAAGCATCATATTGTACGATTTTCCTCGCCGATCTTGTTCATCAAAACCGGATTGCCACAATCGTCTCCCCGCCGACCCGGCCAACAGTTGCAAGGAGCAATCCAAGATCCTGCGTATGCTTGGCCGACGAACCACTAACACTGACACCACCACCCACACTTCACCCCGCAGGCACGGAGTCCCGAACACTCCTCATGTTACACGACCCGGCCGAGATCGCGGAGGCGGCTACGGTAACGTCAGCGTTTGTCCACCGTTCGGCCGTCCATCCAGATGGCAATATGTTAATGCCAGGAACCGTAGCGGGGTAACGCTTGAAATGCCGCAATCTCGATACTGCATGGTCGGCTGTCCATCACTCTTCACCGGCCCACCTGTGGATACACATGGCTCTGCACACGAGCCGATATTTCTCCCCTCGGGTAGGAGATTATTGCAGGTTCCGTGCCTTATTGCTATTGAGCCTTGTGGCTCCTAAATTCTCTGGCTGCATATCCGTAGTCCCTCAGTCATCACACACGAAATGTTATTTCGGAGGCCCTGGACTCTAGCATAACGCTGCCAAACCGAGGAACAGTATCGACCAACCGGAAAAGCATGACCTCGTTGGTTGCGAAGGGCCTGGAGCATATCCTCACGGGAGCTACGGGTAGGGTCTGCTCTCAGATATCCAAAGACTTCTGGTTTCAACAGTTGTGAATTACCAGTCGTTCCTGGTCGTTGAGCGTACGGGTATAGCGAGGAGGAACGGTGCCTTACTTGGCAACTTTAGGACCCATGGAGACTAATAATTGGCGCTAAAGCCGAATTACTTTAGATAGGTACTCCGTACGTAATGTCTTCAACGCCGTGTTCGCTTCCAGCAAATGACTCGGCGCCAACCGATCTGAGAGCTTCGGACCGGACTCGCCCAGGATGAAGCCTCGACACGGTATTAGGTAGAGGGGACATTGCTGAAGTAGGCCCAATAGCACAAGGGGTTGCCCTCAAACAGCCTCCGCACAACGACAGTCCATGATGCATGCATGAGGCATGATTCAGATCAAAGGAGGCCCATAGCCGAAAGCCAGCAGTTCGGACGACTTTACAAATGAAGCAACGCTGTAGATGACGAGCAACATAAGAATGGAGGTGCTAAAGGGGCGCACGAAACGAATATAACAACAAAGACGTCCTTCCACAGGGAAGACGCAGCCTCTTGAGGCGAAGTAACGATTTAGACTCGGATCATTTGCCGTGGCTTCGAGCCTTCGAGCATCCGTACTCCGTATGTACACCCAAAAGCTAGAAGTCGCTCGGTAACTCGGGCTTTGTCGGGGGCTGAGAGCAAACGTGGCAGGCGGGAGCGCACAGAGGACCCTGACCCTAGCAAGGATCGTGGAAGGTTTCTAGAAGACGGTTCGGGCTGAAGAATGAGGCGCACAGAAATCGCCCCCGTCCCTTTCATCAAGACCTCGTGAGAACGGGCCTCTGCTAATTTACTACGTAGGTAACCTAGACCCGGTCTATGATTTCGTTTGCTATTGCAACACACGTATCTGTAGACTGCGTGCAACGGAGTAATCCATCATCCAACCAGCGGTGAGGATTACGGGGCGCAGTTGTATTCTGTATGCAACGCATAATAGCGAGGACCCTGAATCGGGGCGGAAGCTCTGTGGCATGTGGATATGGTGGACTGCATGACTTGGACCCTGAGTATCTCTCGAAGCTTTGAAACAGAAGAGCACCCGAAACTCGACGAGAGTTAAGCTACGGAAATTTGGCCTCCTATATTCTCGCGCCAATGCACCAACAGCACCGCCGCTACCACGCTGGAATGGATTTGGGTTTTGCCGGTTTGGTATCACTAGGACGCAGCCTTGAGATGAGTTTCTACTCACCGCCTCTGAATGCTTGTCCACACACCGCCAAGATGTGTTGTTTGGCACTTCTGCGCTGAACGTTTACTTCAGGCCGGTCTTGCGAATCTGCGAAGCTTGCGAGGGCATTTCACGCGTTTTCCCAGGCATCTCCAAGCGCCGGTCTTTGCGGGGGAGACGCCGAACACGGCGGGAACAAATTGGCAATCTGATACTCCGTATATGCGATTTCTTTGCCAATTACCTAACAGTGGTATGAAGCAACAGACAACGACCTTTGTAGCCGGCTAACATCTCACTGGATGCTTTTCTAGTTGTTACAGACCACCATGCAACATGGCCGGACCTTGAGCCTCCACTTGCGGACAACTCATCGCTATTGCAGAGCGGTCAAGAGTTACGAAGAAACAATAACAACAAAATAACAGCCATATTGCTAGTGCGACCTCGGACCAATCTTGCAGGCGCACTCTGGCTTCGCAACTTCAAAAAGGACATTGCCGCATGCGCCTGGCTAGCGCGCAAATCAAAGAAAAGAGAGTGATAGAGATGAGTGGGAGTGGTGCCAGAAATGCAGATGACCAACCTCAGGCCACTCCCATCCTTACAGAGAGCATCTGGCGACTATCCGTATCTTGCTTATTGGTGTCCGACGGGATGTGCGTACGCGGATATTATGGGGCACCGGGCTGAGCGTTCGGGCGCGGCCGGTGAGAGAAAGGGGCCGTTTTACGGGGATACTCTGTAGTCCAAGGAGGTCCCCCTCGGCAGGTCGAATTCGATGGGCATGAAAGGCAGAATTTCTTGCCGGGAGCTCAGGCCCGACCAACGCGGGGGGAGAGAGTTGACCGACTGGATTCTTCAACCTGAAGGCGGCGTTCCCGTCATCAGGAATGCAGTGGACATAAGTCGGCGATCTCCAGGTCCGCAGCTGAATGATCCCCGATACGCGAGTTATTTCACAACAGCGTCTGCTTGAAGCTTCGGGGGGGACGAGGCGTTCGGCGTTTGAAATCCCATAATATACTGGAGCCTCGAGCAAACGGCGAAAATAGGAAACTGTCTGCTAAAGTGGTCAGACTGACGACCGATTGGAATGTGGTACGCCTCGTCCGGTTTTTGTGCCTCTGAAAGAAGAAGCAGCCAATCAGAAGAGACGAAATTGTTCTCTCTCGGCTTACTCAGCCACTGCGGAAATTTCTCGGTGTTTGGTTAGGTGAGTGATTCCGCGGGAGTGCTCTAGAACTGTGAGTCTGTGAAAGCCCGGCCGCTGAAAAGCCGCTCTGCGGTGCCGCAAAGGGCGTTGCTGAGAGCAGGGCCAACACTTGCGGGACGGCAAAGACCGGGCAACCAGGGTCCATTACATCATGCCGTAGCGACGACCTCATGGCACGATTCTGGGTCCCATGAGAGCTTTTTTCGCCCACGCGGCGTCCCGTCCACCAGGTTTTCAATCGCCGTCTGCATCTGTCATCAGCTTTGTCGTTTCCATTCATTGGATATAAGGCCATTGGCACTCGTCCTCAGCCTCACGGTTTTATTTTCAGCTACACAGAACATCCACCAAAGACTCAAGACGCAATCCAAAGAGCTCGATTGACCTTAGCGAAAACGAGCACCACTAAGCTTTACCTCTCTTAACTCCATTCAAGGTAGCTTCGAATCCCGATCCGTCATCAATCCGTCACCAACCACCACGTAATTACGACATTACCCTCTCTCTATCTCTCTCTACACGAGCACCACCGGTTCAGATCCCGACAACACCAAAACCTGCAAGGCTGCGCACCTAAACCAACCCTTTTTGCAGCTTCCAATTCTTTACCCTTTCCTAGGAACCATCAATCGTTCCCCCCTCTCTACGATTCGAAAGGTCCACACTTTACACACCACCATCACCCCGCACAACCCGCAACCATGAAGGTCCTCAGCAAAGAAGAGGAGGCCGAGCACTACAGCGTCGTCGTCAAGGCCGGCCTCATCGGCGGCACGGCCGGTCTGGCCGTCGGTCTCGGCGGCGTCCTCTTCGCAACCAAGCGCTACCCGTCCTTCCGCCAGCTCACCCTCCCCTTCCGCTCCTTCCTCGTCACCTCGTCCGCGACGTTCGGCGCCATTGTCCACGCCGATCGCGAGTCCATCCGCTACGGCAAGGAAAAGGACCCCATGTACGGATACCAGGACGCCACGGCGCGCGCCATTGCCGAGGCGAAAGCCAACGAGACGCAGATGCAGAAGCTCAAGGAGTGGGGCCGCGAGAACAGATACTCCATCGTCTTTGCGTCGTGGCTCGCGTCCATGGGTGTCGCGCTCGCCATCGTCGGCAAGGACAAGTACCTCACCGGCGCGCAAAAGCTCGTCCAAGCGCGTGTGTACGCGCAGGCCCTCGCCGTCGTCATGCTTGTTGTGACTGCCGCCTTTGAGATGCAGGACGCCAAGACGGGCGCCGGCCGCTGGGAGACGGTCATGATTATCGACCCCGAGGACCCGGAGCACAAGCACCTCATTGAGAAGAAGATTCACAAAGAGGAGTACGAGGGTCAGGACTTGTGGAAGGGTACGTGTCAACATTTCCAAAGCTATCTCCCCGAGCGGGTGATGATCCGATCTCCACTCTTTGCTATCTATCGGAGCTCTCTTACTGACGTCCCTTTCCACAGATATGGTTGCTGCCGAGGAGCGCCGCATCGCTGCTCGCAAGGCTTCTGAGCAGAAATGAACGTTTTTGACAACGTCACACGACCACCTATCTATCCACCTATTCCATGGATCTCGCAAGAGTTCCCTGTACGATCTATTTCCTATGTCTTTCGCGAAGCAAACTTCCCCCAATGGATATCTATCTCTCGGAGTAAGGGAGATGGAGTCAGCTTGGCGGATTATTTACATCTTGCATTGCCGGCGTTATTTTTATATAGGGAGAAAAGTGTCGATGACCGGGCCATGGCCTCGTCAATCAACACCCATTGACGATTGTCCAAATGTCACTATGAGAGAGAGAGAGAGAGAGAGAGAGAGAGAGAGAGAGAGAGAGAGAGAGATTGGCAAGCAAGAAACTAGATTTCTGATACAACTATCAATCTGGCGGTTTAGCAAGTCTTTTGCCAAATACAATTTCTACTTAATTCACCACTTGCTTGCAGCTCTGAACGTAAGTACCATGTGAGCCGTGTACAGGGATCTGACTAGGAAAATCACACCACTTAGTGGCGTGACCCGTGGTCAGTCAGAGAAAGAGAGCCCTGCACGACTGCTTCTACTTCCAACCAGTTCAGAACTCCAACCCACGAATTTCTGTTTTCGATGCCATACATATCAAACAAAAACCCTTCCCCCCCCCCCCCCCCCCCATTATCGGTTCCGTTGCTATCTAAGCAAGAATCGCAGGGACCGGAACCACTAGCCACCCATAACACGCTAGGCTACGGTATCCGTACAGCGGAACATCGAGGGAGGCGAAGGGGAGGGGGCCAAGCTCCCGTGATCCTTGGCGGAGCGCAACCCACCCCTCTTCCTCCTCACCTCAATTTCCTTGCACTTCCTTGCACCTCCGACGGTCGCTTTTCTTGCTACTTCAAGTGCGAGAATACCTACTCCAATTCAGATCTACGTACTGCCTTGACTCCAATTGATCATCAAAAAAGCACTCCTTGCTGAAATGACGTACCTCCCCGCATCGAAACCCCCATCCCCCCTACTCGCGCAGCAGCGGTACGGGCCAGACACCGAGATTCGCGAGTCAGTCAAAAAATGCGAGTAGTTTTGTCGATCCGGGATCGAGCCATGAGTGATGGACAAATCAACCACCCACCCGATGTTACATAGTGACCCTATAGAGATCTCATAGTTACGGATTCGTCACGTCACACAAATAGTAGATAAGCGAATAGAGAGATGGTCTCAATGAAAAGAGCTCTGCTTTGTTCAACAGATATTTGAGATGATGACTAAACAAAATGGAGAAACGCATGCCTGCCCACCCACCTATCCATCGCCCACCTGGGATTTTAATAAAGCCGTTCCGTCATCAAGCATAGGTAAGGTAGTAGATAACTGTAGATAAGAAGCATTGCTGCTTTGGAAAACGACACGGGAAATTCGGGGGGAGGGAGAAACAGATTAAACCAGATTACGGTATAATAGACAAGATGACAAAGGATATTTTTGAAATAGCAATAACAACGGCAGACTCCCAGGCCTCCTTTATCCTCAGACCTCAATGGTGAAGTGGCTAATCTGGGAATAATACGCGTGCACGGCCAGTTCCAACATCCAGACATCGCTGAACACTTCGCTGCCGTCAAATCCACCAATGATGAACAGACGGCTGTCGTACAGCACGGTGCCATGGTATCCACGGCCGCTAGGCGGCAAGCCGTAGACGCGCCGACGATCCCACGTCATAGTAACAAGATTGAGTAGGAGGACATCGTTGGAGTATTCGTTGCCGTCGTGTCCACCAACAATGAATAGATAGGAGCCTACCAGAGTGGCCGTGTGTGATAGGCGGCGGTAGGTCTGCGGGATGGACACGGCCTTCCAGATATGGGCGTCGACGTCGTAGACCCACACGTCGTTGAAGCACTCGCCGCCATCGGAGCCGCCAAAGATTATCAATTTGCTTCCCACCATGTTGGCAGTGTGGTAGCCGCGGGGCTTCGGGCGAGTCTCCCGGACGCCCGGGGGCGGGGCCCGCTCGGGCCCGGAGACAAGCTTCCATGACATCTTGTTCATGTCGCTAACGTCGAGCCTCCAGACGTCGTTGAGGGCGCGAACACCATCACCGCCTCCAAAGATGTAGATGCCGTTCTTGTAGAGGCAGGCTGTGTGCGCACGACGTTTAGAGGGGACACGGTCGCCTACAATCTTTGGCCGGTGCCACCTGAAATTTGTCGTGTCGAGAACGTATATATCATTGTAGTAGGCGGGCCCATCGCCACCGCCAAATATTACCAGCTTCTTGCCGACAGCAGTGCAAGTCATTGCGCGTAGCGGCACAGGGATCTCGCCGGTAACGTGCGGTACTGACCAGTAGAAGGCATCTGCATCAAAGACGTAGAGCTCGTTGAAACAGGCGCGGGAGTCACAGCCCCCAAATACAAATATGTTGGATCCGACGAGCGTGGTGGTGTGGGCGCGGAGTGATGTATGGGGAGCCCCTGAGACGGGCGCTCGAGACCAGTACATGCCTGATGAGGGTGCCGGTGGTACATCAGGCGCAGTCTTTGGGTCCTGGAGGGGCGGAAAGGGGATATGTTGACCTTTGGGGGCGGATCTTGAGGAGACTGTCGTTGAGAGCTGGCGTGTTGAGGATGACGAGAGAGGGAGTGAAGAAGGCTTTGCGGCTATGGCGGATGTGGAGCGCATGGCGATAGGGCGGCGGCCGTCGCGGTCGGAGCCGGGGCCACCGGTAGACTCGGAGCCATCATTGCTGTTCAGCGTCGTAGCATCGCTGGCAGTATTGCTCGGCCGGAAGGACGGCGGTGGAGGTCTAGGGGTATTCGCGCTCGTGGGTGTCGTACGAGCCTGTTGTGAGGCCTGAGCCTGGGAGGCGGACTGGGAGCGCTGGCGGATAGAGAGTTCGGAAGGTTTACGGCGACGGTCTTGACTCTTGGAGGCAAGATGACCGGGCGTATGGGAACGCGGGATTATGGGGCCTCCCGGAGCGGAGGGGACACGGCGGTGCTGCTCGATGTCGCGGTCGCTGAAGTCCTCGAGATCGTCGGGCACGCCCGGTGGTGGGGGCCGCGAATCGTTGGGCGGAGAGATCTTCTGAGAGCGTACAACCTTGGACTTGAGGGGGGACCGGGGGTTCTTGTCCGAGGACCTGGCCGAATCAGCCATGGTTCGACGGGGGAATGGTCATTGCCCCCCTCTCGCGAGGATGTGGATGATTGCCCCGGGGGTCGGTCTTTGGGACAAGGCGATTGCGGTTCGAGGGAGGGAGATGGTGGGAAGAGAGGACAGAAAGAAGGTGGTATATCGGGCCAATTGGCGAGGCAAGGTCGGCGAGAGAGCCGCGATTCGGAAGCAGGCTAGCGGACGTGCGTCGGGGGGGTTCGGGACTTGAGTCGACGGAAAGATTTGTTTACTTGGGTTGTCGAGGGTTGCGTTGCAGTTACTGTGTCGTTGGATGACTCGGGGTTTGTGTGGTTTGCTGTAAGGTATGGTACGTGTAGTTTGGTTGCAGAACGCCAGGTAGCCGTAGTAAGGTAGAGGAAAGAACTGGAGCCCGGCCGCAAAAAAGGAGATCCACTTTCGTCTTGTTCCCAAGGTCGGGTCCCAAGGAAGGCTCTAGTGCTAGAGGAAGGTCTGGTAGTGGTATCCGTGGTGTAGAAAGTACTGTTGCTGGCACTGGCCCTGACGAAGGGCGGAGGGGAGGACGGATGGACGTGGGCTGGCACTGGCAGGGGAAGGTGCGTCGGGAAGGCGAGGCACGCCGCACGACCTCGGTGACGGGGCCTTGTTAGTGCGGCTACTGGCAGGTGTCTGTTAGCTTAACATAAAGGTACGGATACCTGTACTCCGTCAGTCACAGGTGTGTCCCCCATGTCAAGCACTATGTTTTAAGCCTTCAGATGAGGTAATGAAAGGTACTTTGCTGGAGCAGCATCCATCGGCTCCGTTCCTTCCCTGGGCTGAGATTGGCGGGATCCGAAGGCTAGAAGGCCTGGAAGGGCTGGAAGGGCTAGCCTCTGGTCCCTGAGCAATTCCACCCACGTATCACAACTCTCCTTACGGCATCTCCCTCGCCAAAGCCAAGCACGGACCACTGTCGGCCCCTGCATTGGCCTGCTGTGCTCCTCGAGCCTGCTGTGACCTGTCCCGCCGTCACCTCAGGGCATGGTAAGGCAAGTCGCTGAGGGTGGGTGTGATTGGTCGCGTGAGGTGAGGTCACAGGTAATCAATCCTCTCCACCTGGCACAGGGCAGTCGCCCACTGATGAATAATCCTACCTGCTTACCTACTACTTCATAATGAATTCGAAATGCTCAGTGACATTTTATAGCATTGCACAACGTCTTGTTCTTGAAGACAATGTCTTTCTTCTCACTAACTCTCAAGACATTCGACTTGGCTCTGGGCTTGTCTCTGTACGTGTAAAACACCGGCATGTAATCATGGGGGGGCGGGGATCTCACATTGTGGAACCCCGCTGTAAGGGTTTCGAATGTATTTTGTTTACATCGTCATATCGAAGCAATGTACGGAGATCGGGCGACCGAAATGTCTCCGGGGGAGCGCGCATCCGGGCATTTCCATATCGAACTCGAATTGAGGATTCACCAGGTCAAGGTAACTATGTTATGCACTTATGGAGATACTATCATCCACAAGGTTCGTCTCAGCAGTAAAAGGTCCGGTTGCCCGATGTTGTAGGTGCTATATATATCTCTTCATCCTGCCTGGCAAAGCACTGAAGGGAATATCCCAATCTCATAACATGCCTCGCGGGATCGCATCCCGATCCCACTCATAACACTGTTTCTCAGCACCACCTTGCAGACGGTGAAGAGTATTTCCTGACGTGGATAATGGACCAATTTGTAGTTGGCTAGGCGAACCTACTGAACAATGCCCGAATCTACAATAATGGCCCAAGGCCGCTCGGTTTGAATAACTGAGTGAGATACTATTTTTGTATGGGCCTCTCCGACGAATCCGACAAATGAGTGTCCTTCCTCTTGCAGAGAGCGAGTACGAGATTGCAAGATTTCCAGCTGCACCTACTCATTTGCTGCCGGCCGCGACTTGAAACTCAGATTCGGACTAAGGCTCATAGTGAGACCCAATCTTTCCATGTTCTCTCTTAGTTTGGTGAAAGCTCTGACATGTCTCGGCATTCATCAAGCCCTATTCCCACTCCAGCTCTCGATATGTCGACTTCACATCATGACCGAGCTAGCACCTATTTCCTCGTGTTGTACAGGAGAAGTTCTGCCCAGTTGTTGCCCGCCGCTACCACTATCACGCGGCCGCTCGGGCTTTGAAGTGATAACAATTCGGGATTCATATCGGGATATAGCCATGTTTTTGCCGAAATGGCACACCTACTTTGTATGAGTAAGTGAACCCTCAGTCTAGCCGACAACAGCACTTATTGATTCTGGGGAGAGGTTGGCAAGCTGCGAGTGGGACTCCCGCAACCAACTCCTTTGGCCGGCAGCGCGGGGCCCGTCCAAGTTCCACAACGTCATCTCATAGTTGACGGGTTACACAAGAAACCTTAACCATTTTGAAGCCTTTCCCAATCGGAACGGGCAGGCAGGTCGTGCCGCTCTTTTGGGTGTGAGCTTTGAGACTCCAGCCGGGAGTCCGCGGGGCTAGGCGGAAAGTAAGATAAGAAGCGACTCTGCCTTACTGAAATTATAGTGACGCAATTCCCATCTGGGGGTCAATCAAGGAAGTTGCAACATTCTTCGATTTGGCGATTCAAGAAAAGGGGTGTGAGTATACTTGTGTGACCCATTTGCAACCGTCCAGAGACCGTCTCGACACTTCGTACGAAAACGGTGAGCATGCGAGGTCAGAAGATCCGAGAAAAGCTGTGTTGCCAACGGCTCGGATAGGACCCCTTGCCACCAAGACAGTCCATTCCCGGGGTGCTGGGAGCATCGCTTTCTGGGATAGGCTTGAACAAAAAGCGATGAGGAGTTTGTGAGGGGGTAAGCGGAGTTTGGAGTCAGTCCACAAGGAAAGTTGGAATTTGGAGTTCCATTCCCACCTAGGCTTTGAGCTACAACCCATATCCGTACTCTTCTCCGATGCACGATACACGATTCAAGTCCCGGATCTTTTTCCTACCTACCACCCTGCCAAGGCCGGGGGTTGAGAGGAAGTTCTGGCCTCCGGGTCATACACGTGTGCAAAGCGACCTGCGTGTTAACATGCGATGAGGATATCCCCACGTTATCCCAGCCCCCGAATCTATTTGATGGACATTGGGAGCCCCTCCGATGTGATATCTGATTTGCGTCATTACCTCGCCAGCTCTGACGAGTATGACGAATCGAACGACGAGGAGCCGGTGGGTTTGCTGCAATTCCGAGGAACGATTCGGATCTTTTCCTAGACGATATCTCCTAATCTCCTCTTCACGACTCAAGATTCACAACTGCATCAAGCTATTCTTACGGACGCGTCCCACTGATTTACCTATCTCGCATACAAGAGGACAGATACATACTCGCAAGTTCAACAATATCTGATTAATAAGCAAGAGGAGACTGTACCCGAACAGACAGCGAAGATCAAAATGTATCGAGTACATCGACGTCTCATAAAGCCAGATGTACCGTCTACTTCTGAGGCTATAAACGAGGCCCCCAAACGTGCCCAGAGGGTCTTCTCCCAAGCAGAACATCTTCCTAGGAGTCGATGAACTACAAAAGGATCGATCAACGTCATCTTTACCCACACCCTCCTCCAAACATTGGCACTACCCTGCCCACCATCCCACTCCCGGTTCTCCGGGGGTCCAATGCCGGTGGGTAGCGTGGTGACGGATCACGGTGAGGGTGGTGGTCACTGGTGGTGTCCGTGATGGTGAGGAGGAGCCAAGGAGGGGGTTAGATTGAGATTCCCAACACCAGGGTAATGTCTGCCCGTGGACCTAGGTGCCTGCCATTTAATCGAGCTACTTTAAAACCTGGGCGGCAGGCAAAAAAAAAAGAGACGGACTAGTCCATCGAACTAAGCGAATTAGACGAGACTCAAGAAAGCCAAAGGATCCCAAGACTGCGATGCCAAACAAATCGCCTGCGGATTGAAGCCAGGGGTTGCGAATTTCTTAGGGGCTAAGACGAACAGGTTGGGTTTCTGACATGGGATGCGAGCCGTGCCATGACTCGCTCGAGGTCGTATCTCGGAAGACGTTCGGTCGGCAGACACGCCGATGTTCGGGGGTGTGTCCGGTGGTGTGGGACCGCTAGAGGCGCTAGGAGTTTACTTCCAAGTTGCGGGCTCATGCCCTCACACAGGTTGGTCCTTATACAAATTTTTGCCAACAATGTTCAGCAATATCCGATATGGTGTAGTGGCCAACATGATGCCCTCTCATCTTGATGAAAGGTTAGGCATAGCCCCGAGTTCGATTCTCGGTTTCGGAACTTTTGCCTGACGTGAGCACTAAGCCTCCCTTTTTGACATGTTCGTCTCCGGCCAGGGCAAATGTTTGATGTAGTATGATAGGTATTCAACGTTAGTATAGTTGCTGCGTCTGAGACTCGATCTCACCATTCTCTTTTTGCCCCTGACGCGACAGCACCACCACCGTCTCTCGGTGACAGCTCCAATATCTACACCCTCACCTCCAAGTTACAGCACATGCGACCACACCCACTGGAGAACTCGGGATCCCGTCCGTTCTCCCATCGATAAACCAGTGAGGGCCGGAGTAGTAGTCGGGTCGGAGACGACAGGCGAATGCCCGGTGTTGCATGTACACTTTGCCTTTCTTTTTGGGTGGCTCCTTTGTGGAAGGAGAGGATCTTGTCATGTTGTTTCGGGGGGAAGGGGGGGGAGCGAGATATCTTCCGTTGCGGTATGGTCGTGGTTGTAATTTGGGTCTCGTCTCATCTTCAACTGCCCTCTTGGTATACGCATCAGCAGGGCAAGCCTTCCGGTTAGCACGAAGCTCGCTCATTACTGCATCTTAAATTACGTAGTGGGATGCGGAAGGATGAGGTTGATAGGCAGGGCCTTCTGTACGGTCAATACCATTGTCTTTGGTTCGCTTCTCTGTCTGTAGCTCAGTACAGTCATATACCCATATATTGATGTTTGTTACAACTATGTCAGGAAATGCTAGGTCTGCTCCTGGCTGCCTTGTGTTATAGAAACGCAGCTTAGCCCAGTTACTCTCGAGACAGGCAGGAAGACCGAGAGTGTTTCTAGAAAAATTTGATGGCTTGATTGATAGCTTATGCCCAACTTATGAGCATGCTAGCTCATCTATTAGTACAATTATATAGAAGCGGATGAAAGATTTTGAAACGGTCGCAGTTTGTATGTCATATTGAGCACCGTCTTATGCCTCAGCAATCAGTGATGAGATAGAAAAGTAAGTTCACAGCATGGACTACGCTCGGAAAGCAGTATGAGAATTTGAAAGAAATTTGCTGGTCATAATACACCTAACGCCAAGCTGCACAGTCGCTCCACGAGAAATCGACTAGCTAATTTACACATACCATCACGACTTGCCTTGAGAGTAGTAACGCTCGAGACACTCTCGAATCTCCAAGCTCAACCCCGACCACTTGCTCTTTCTAGTCAAGCGTTCTCCCAAAGAGGCATCGTACGGAACAAAATACCCACCGACTGCAATCTTAACAGGTTCTGATGGGACCAACTTCGATTGTCTCCGCGTTTTCTTCCCGTTGCTGGGAGGAAGAAACTTGCCCTTACTCTTCTTTCATGCTCGATAGACGTGCCCAGTACCGGTGAGAAGACTCATGTGGCTGCCGCTCCCATCGTCCTGATATTATCATCTCAGCTTTCTGGACCCCGCTCCAAGGCCTGTAACCTGACGTTCGGGAGGTCGACTCGTGGCAAAACTGGTCGAGCTTTTTCTGGTCGGTGAACCGGTCAACAAGCAACCAGCGAAGGACCCGCGGCGATGTGGCTGCGAGCTCCACTGCAGACCGAAAGTTGTTGTGCCCTTGAAAGGAGATGCTCGCGCCGTGGCGAACAAGGTAGATAACAGATTCCAGGTTTCCTGCGATGGACGCTGCCATCAGTGCGGAGCCCTCTGGACAAACCTCGAAGTCTATCAGGATTCCCAAAGACAAGATGTTTTCCATGATTGGTATTTTTCCAGTAGATGCAGCGAAGCACAGTGGATTTCTGGTGCTGACGGCCTCGAGGTTTAGGAGCCTGCAGAACCTATCCGTTGACAGCCTTCGACGGCACAATCGAAAGGCCGTTATCAGGCAGGCTGCGTTGCCTCCATTTGGACCCCAAAACATGGTCGACCATGGAATAGGCCTTTCGACCTGGGTGTGGATATTTCCGTTCAGCAAGAGGGCTGCCATATATTTGTGGTGTATACTCAAATGAAAGGCAGAGCAGCCAAACACGTCGACTTCGAGCGGATTGACACCCATTCGAGTTAGCTTGATGAAGAGTGACGGCCTAACGTCGTCCTCTTCACCAGTCTCTACGTTCTGGAAGAGATAGTGCAACACATTGCGCCCTCTGTCATCTCTGACAAGCACATCTGGAACCCGGTCCATCAGAGCCGAAATGACATACCGGTTCCCCCTTAAAAATGCTCCGGCCAGCGGTGTAACGCCATAGATGTTGCGACAGTTGATATCGCTGCCAGCCTGGAGTAGAACTCGCACAGCAGCTGATGGGTTGACCTTATATGGTGCCATGATGGAATGGAGGAGGGGAGTACAACCAGAATCGTCTTTGGCTTCAAGATCGGCGCCATTGTCGATTAAAAGCTGAACGATATCCACGTTACTCAACAAGGCCGCGTAATGCAATGGTGTCTTTCCCTGCCATTTTTTATTGACAGCTAACGCCAAGGCTGCCGACGGGTCTGCACCAACTTGCTCTCTACGCCGACGTGAGTAAATGGACCTTTTCAACCTTGGAAGATTACTTACGCGTGAAACTTTCTGCTCTTCTTCAGATGATCCAGAAGTATTTCCAGACCTTTCTCGTTATTTGCTCCCACAGCCGCGGCTACTAGACATCCTGGCTCGTTTAGAACGCTACCGCCGGTTGCGATGTATCTCTCAAGCATCGCCGGCAATCGCGGGTTTAAATGGGGTTGACATATCATCGACAGAATGATGGAACCCTTGTTGCCGTAGGGGTAATTTGGATTTGCACCCCGTTGTAGAAGCCAAGTTATGATGTCCAGTTTCCCAAAGCGTACAGCAACTCCAAGAGCTGTACAACCCCCAGAGGTGGACATAGGTAAATCTACATCTACCGTCGACAATGGTGCGAGAATATCCTGGCACGAAGACAGGTTTCCGGCTTCAATAGCTCTGGACAACACTTTAGCAAGAGCTGTAGAACGCACACCAGCCGAAAGCACGGCGTGCTGGCCCACATCATGGGCTCTGAGGCAGTCGATGATACTTTGATTATTGTATTGGTACGCCAGTAGGAGCGGCGTCATTCCATTGCGATCGGATGAAATTTCACTGCCCAGCTCCAGGAGTCTCTCGACTGCCATGAGATTACCTCTACCAACAGCAATGCAGTGCTAATTGGCCGTCGATTGACCTCGCGTTGATATTTGCACCTCGTGCATGCAGAAGTTCAATCGCACTGGTGTTCCCGCCCATCACTGCAAAGTGGACAGCAGTGTGCCCATTCTCTGCCGGCGCTTCCAGGCTGATAGATGCCACCTTCCCAAGAATAGCCTGGAGGCAATCGACAGATGATAGGGCTGCCTGGTGCAGCGGCCTGATGCCTTTGTGACTTTGGCCTTCCCAGTCAATCTCAAAATTGGAGTTTCTGTGCTCGAGAAGGTCGGACAAGAAAGAAACGCAATCTTTTGCAATGGCCACGTGAGTCGCTGTCCATCCAGATCGGCACGGGACTGTGGGATCCGCTCCTTGACGGAAGAGAGTAGCTGCCAACTCAAAACGTTTCTTCGACAAGTGGTGAACTAATGCTGACGGATGTGGCCAGATATTAACCCGAAGATCTGGGCTAGCCCCACGCCATACTAGCATCTCAACTATCTCGTGCCTGAATTGCGGTACATCCGCCTCATTCGAGAGATGAATCAACCCTAAGCCAGAGCTTGGATTTGTGTGGTTCAAACATATGGAATCTGCATAATCAAGGAGCTTCCGTACCCTGGCAACGTCGTCTTCATTGATAGCTGGTAACGCACAGTGGTATTCCAGGGCGGAAACCCCTTTGTAACGCCGATGGACATCAATGCCTCGCGTCAATAGCTGGAATACTGTCATGTCGTGGTTGAGAGTGGCAGATACTTTCAGAAGTTCAACGCCACATAATGATTCGTCGAAGCTGTCCCAGTAGCTTGTGGTCTTCAGCAGGAAACACAGCGTGTCGTCCGTAAGAGGGAAGTCCTTAATGTTGTGCGGATCTAGCAACCACTTATTCGAGCAGGCTTCAGCGACTGGGAGAAGCGCAGACTTCAAGCGATATCTCTCGTAACTGTCGAATATTCCAACACGCGCCAGGCATTTGGCTGCTTCATCGATATGCTTGGATGCAAGTTGTTTGCTCTGCAAAACTTTGGAAACATAGCACTCCCATACCTTCGTCGCCTCAAAAGGGTCCAAGTGAGTCGCTAACGGCTGGACGAGATACTCCAGGACCTCCATATCTGGCGAGATCAAGTAACCTCTTTCGACTGAGATGGTATTCATATAGAATTCCCATGGCAACTTTGCATCGCTTCGACATTGCCTCGCGTCTGGAATCAGCGATTCCAATTTTTTGACCAATGCCAACTCCACATTGGGACCCAAGCAATGCAAGGGGGTTTTCTTTTCGTAGTCGGCCAGGTGAACTTCTAGATCCATACCTTGAAGTAGGTCTAAGATCTCCTCAGAGCCTGATTCAGCAACCAACAACAGTATTGGTGTCTGGCACTCCCAAGCCGTCGGTTCATTTTCGCACCTCGTTAGGATGACTTTGGCGATTTCAATCCGCTTCTCCCTGATTGCAAGCGTCAATGGTGTGTGTCCATCGCTGTTGCGCTTGGAAAGGCTACAGCCGGCGCTCAACAGCAAATCCAAGACTTTTTCTGCCCGGTCAATCCAGGTGTCATCGTATTCAGTTCTATCTCCTGCTCGGCCTAGTGAATGCAGCAGCCCATCTTCCTGACCAGGACTTAGAATTGATGAAACATCTATTCGTTGATCATCAACCACTCTTTGCAACGTAGCGAAGTCGAAGTTTGAGCGGACCACCTCCAATGCCAACGCCTCGAGGCTACGTACATCGTCGGTAACTTTGGAACTGATGTTAAAGCCTTTGAGATCACCGGGATCCGGAGCCAGCTGCAGGCAAAATCCCCACACCGACTGACAGAACTCAAAATCCAAAGGCGAATTATCAATACCAGAGCTAAGTGCTTCGCAAAATTGGCAAAGTGATGCCAGAGCTTCATCATGACAATGAAGGTCTTCATAATTGAGCTGGCTACTCATAGCTTCTTTGAATCGGTCCAAGTCGCTTTGGGTGGGAACAAGACCTTCGTCGACGAGTAATTGAGCGACCGAAAAGTCTGCTATGCTGATACCAACACACAGAGAAGCACCTAAAAGACCTTCTGGTGCTCGGGGATCCACTTCCAAGAATGCTTTTACAGTCTCGAGAGTATGGCACACCTCGAATCCGCCCATTGATGTAACGATTTCAAACCACCGCGTCATGGTGAAACTTGAATCGAGTTGTTCGAGAGCCCCGTAAAGACAGCTCACAGCACACTCAATCGGAGTTCCAAAAAAGCATATGGTCTCGCGATGAGTTGAAGTCTGTAGCAGGAATGAACTGATCTCTGGCAGTGACAAAATCGCCGCCAAGTGTAGTGGTCGGAAGCTGTCGTGAGTGATTTCCGCTATCAATTTAATCATGAAGGAGTCATTCATATCGATATCAGTATCTATTATATCGATATAGATCACCCAGAATAACGTCGATACCCATGACGTAAAATGTGTAGATTTTCGCGGATCGAACAGCCGCTTCGCCTCGGCTAGTAATTCAGAATCCATCCATTCTTCTCTAGCGAAAAACAGCCAGTATTGTGCAGCATATTCGTAGAGTTGGTATTCGGTGCTCCTGTGTTCCATGTAGTCGATTTCCTCACTGGTTGCCCTCGGTGTATGGTTGAAGTTGTCAAGCTGAAGGTATTCCAGGCACCGCACTGCTAGAAGCCTGTTGCAGTGAGATTTGGAGATGTGAAACATTTCCAAGTCAGACGACTGTAAGAAATTGCTTGTCAAAAACTCTTGAACCGAGAAATGGGCGAATTCAAAAAAAATTCCGTCATTTGACTTTCGAATCAGACTGCTGCAATACCTGGCAATTGAGTCTTCCCTTATGATGCCAGATGGGCCCAGATGCTGGCTAGTTGATGGTATTGAAAGAATCTCTCTCAACCTCGCAGTGTCGAGTCTTGGCTCAGCGTAAGCAATGAAAAGCAGTGTCATCTGAACGAACGTTTGTTTTGCATCGGGAACTCTTCTTAAGATGCGCATATAAGTCTCTGGGAGGTCAGGTGGGAGACGATGCAGGGCTTCTCGACATTCCTCGTCTGACATGCAATGTCCAAGGTGATCCAGTTGACAAGCAACCCAGCGAAACCTAGCCAGAAGTCAAGTCAGTCAAATCTCATGTTATACATTCCGACGGCAATAATGCTTACATTCCGTGTGCCCCGGCGACGAGGCTTTCCAAAATCTCTGATTTGAGAGAGAGATCTTCGAGTACCAGCTTCCTGTTATGAATGCGCCGTTCGATTTCCGACGTGAGAAATTCGGTGATGTCTTCCGTGTGAGCTGCAATCTCTATATTGTGGAAGTTATTCTCGGGACCTCGAAGGTGTCGTTGAATGTTATCCTCATCGCGACTAAGTAGCGCCATCGACAGTTCATCCGAGTTTTCTGCAATATCGCAAAGCGCCTCCACGATCTCCTCTGCGTGATCTCCGCATTCATCTAAGCCGTCAACCACGAAGTAGGCACGTTCAAAGACTTGAGCCATCCTTGCAATGGTTCGCCTTAGGTCTTCTATGCTGGGAGAACGAGGAAGTCGCGTGTCTGGGTGGAGCTCAGAGTAATATTCTTCGAGCATCGAATACGCTTCCTCGCTTTGTCTCGCCAGTTGGTACGCCAAAGCCCCAAGAATGTTGACAGGGCTTTGCGTCTTCTCATTCTTGTAGTCGCAGAAGAAGAAGCCTACAGCAACGGTTTCTGAGCTTCTCGCAAGAGCATGGCCAATGATTGAGCCCGCGAGCACCGTTTTGCCAGCGCCGGGAATGCCGCTCAACCAGAGTCGGGACCCTTGGTTTCTAAGCCATTGCTGAAAAGAAGAATGGCGTTCAAGCCACATGCCAGTCCTCGGGTGCCGTAGCTTTACGCTCATCTCGTAATTTGACTGCGGATTGTATTTCAGAAAGAAGTCGAGGATTCTCTTTCGCTGGTCATCCTCACGAATTCGAACTGCAATTTCTCGGGTCTTTTGAACATCAGCTAATATTGCAGCTGTCGTTCGCTCTATTTCTTCCTCTTTCGCAAGACAACGCAGCAATGTCTCTAACGAAGTGGCTGATAGAGCAAGGTTCATATTTTCCTTGTGTCGAGATAGGTCTGCCAGCATTTCCTTGGTCTTTGAAGATGTGTACGGCCACATGAGTTTCTTAAGTTTGACCCCTGATTTTTCATCATACTTCTTCGTCTTATTGATGACGTCGGATAGGATTGCTGCACAAGCGTCAATGTGGTAAATCCTGAAGCCCTGGATGGGAGGCCCGTCTTCCACCTCTAGGGCGGTTGCCAATCGCGACAGCATGTTGACAAGTCCTCCGACTCGATTGACTTCGTCGCGCAGATCGCCGATCTCTTTCTCGGCATTCTTGACTGATTTGACATACTTGGACAAGCGTAGAAATACAATGTCCGCAAGTGAGAGGAGTCCCGCAATGCTTGCGGCGATGCTCAAGGGGTCGGCCATGACAGAACAGCCCGATAGTCGAAACAGTTGTCTGGAAATTGCTATTGATCCTAAAGCTGTCGTTGGGTACACTATCAGGGTCGATCGAATTTCAGCAGACGATGTGAGCAATGAATAGATCTTATCCGGAGTTCGTTCTAGCTTTTAGGCAGCCATGGGCAGACCGCCATCGTATCATTGGACAGGGTGAAGTGTGAATTCTGCCACCATGTAGGCAGGCTGTGTCTTCGTTGCTGCAGGCTCTGCAGCGCAAGGCGGTTTTGGTAGAACCCCCTCCAATAAAATATCCAGCACTGAGTGATCATGACCACGCCGCATTATTGGCGCATGCAGTGATGAAAGATAGGCGATTTTCACCCCTCGCTGGTTAATGCTGGCCACATACGTGCAGCCCATCATCTGAGCGAGGCATTCTTGTCGTGGTACACGTTGTATGTGCGCATATCAGGTACTCGGAACGAAATATCCGAGACGTTTACAGAGTAGTTTCCATTGCATTACATGGCTTGTAGTATCAAGGTCTATTTTGTAATGAGATGCAGGGAAATCGCAACGCACCGCCTGACCCCTTGTTGGTCGAGTCTGCCCCATGCGGCTTCGTTAGAGATATTGGAGCGAATTCTTACTTCAAGTTGCAGCTTCTTTTCTGGGGAATGATAACTTTGCTTTCTGCCAGAGCGTCGTAGACAGGATCGAGGCCACCTTGAAACCGGAGGCATCCTTGTATGTAGAATCGTTCTCTCGAAGGACAACTTCACATTGTTCTCCATTATACTGCCGACTCTCTTTTCCCAAACCTTTTGATTCTACCAAACTCGCTCCCTATATGCACCCAAGAATCGACCCAAACGCCATGCAGACCAACCCCGCTCCTTTCCCCAAGAAAAATGCTCAAACCATATCATAGCTCTCAGGAAACAGAATCGCATTCGCCATCCCAACCAGCGCCTTCTCCGTCGGACTCCTCCCCTCCTTATCCTCCCACGGCATCAACCCCATAGCCCTAAGCCCATCCTCCCCGCCCGCATCGCTAACCTCCTGCGTCCCAGGGCGGCCCGTGTGCGTCGTCTCCCCTTTACCGCCCCCAAAGTCCGGGCTCGGCTGGCCGAGAAGGAACGCCTTCCGCTGGCGGGCGAGGTACAGCGCATTGGTCTGCGTCAGGGGACAGGCCGGGATGTACATGATGGTCGCGGGCGCGGACGACGTCGGCACCCTGTCGACACCATATACCATGTCCGGGTGCCATACCACATAGTCGCCCGGCCGCACGGGCGGGATACGCACGAGGGACTTGTCGAGCTGGAGATGGGGGTGGAGCGCCGAGTTGAGCTCTTGTGTGTAAGATGGTACGGCGCCTTGGATAATGCTCGTTTGGGCAAAGTCCAACGCCCAGTTCTCGCGTGCGAGGAAGTTGGGGGACGTCGGTGAGGGGTTGCGCGGTGAGAAGAAGGGGCGTAAGAGGAAGTAGGCGGTGGCGAGCTGGAGCATGGGGCAGAGCAGGAGGGTGCCGTCAGCTGGGTTGATGTCGGACATGGAAAGCCAGCCTTGGAACATGCGAAACATGCTACACGAGCCCGCGCCGTTGTAGAGGTCTGAAGTGACTCTGAGCCTCGTGCTGCTGTCCCAGGGGTCATAGTCTTCCCAGTTGCCGTCCCATATGCGCTGATACGTGCCGGCGTTCCCGTAACCATCACTCTCCCAACGCTCGACACTGCCGCCGTCTACATGGGCATTCAGATGCCAGGCCTCATCACCTGGAGTTCGGATTCGTAGACGATCGGCGTATGCCACTGGCAGGTCGGCCACCACAGGAGCACTGGGATCTCGAGAGCGCCATAGCTTCATCAAGAACCGCTGAGCGGCTAAGACGTTGGGATGGGCTCGGCCCTTGATCTGTGACGGGGACCAGTAGATGCCGAACAAGTGCGGATCGCGCGTCGGCCAGCCCTTAGTGTGCGGGTTCTCCAATAGATACGCCTCCGTCTCTTCCCGCCAAGCATGAGCCTCGGAGGCCGGTACGACGTTGCGGATGATGGCACCACCTCGGCGCCGGAGCTTGGCGGTAAACTCGGACACGCTGGCATGGTTTTGGAGCTCCGAGAAGTCAATGATCGGAATGATGTCTGACTTCCTAACACCGATAACGGCAATTTCGGCTCGGAGAGCGACTAACAGGCGTTCCCATGATTGTACTATGGCGTGCTCTTTGCCGGCGACGAGGCTCCGTTTAATCTGAGCAAATCTCGGTGGTAGCGGGATGGGCCCGCCATTCTCGGTGAAGATTTCGTCGGCACGCATAAAGCCTCGCGGGTGATTGTCCAGAGCTATGGGAAATGACTGTGACCACAGCAGACTGGGGGTATCAAAAGGTGAGAGAAACTGAGAAAGCAGATCGTCTGGAATGGACGAGACATCCAGGTCCGGCAGTGGCGACGTGTCATCGCCTTGCCCATATTCGTTTTGGAACATGTCGTCCTCCATCCCGCTGTGCAAATAGCTGCAACGTACCGGGTGGTACTTGCAGAAGCTCCGTGTTGTGTCGTGTGTTCGTGGTATGGACGAGTTGGGGCATGTTCCTAGAGCGATGGCATCGGGCCCCGCCGCCGACTAGGTTCCGGGGTCAGGATCACGCGGGGCCGGGAAAAGGTCGGGTCGCCGCGGCTCAACGGTGGGGGAGACTTCTAGTCGCTGACAACGCTACAGCCGGGCCGCTGTGCCGCCACAAACCTCATTGAACATCGTTACTGGATATAAGGCCAATGGGAGAGTTGACTGACAAGTGAAAAGTAGCCGCATGGTGAAAGTTCTAATTCGGATTTCCAAGACCAGTCTCCATTCAGCCCAGTCCTGGGACACTTGATGCAACGTTCACCACACCTTCAGGTTGTAGACGCATGCATCGGAGGCCAACCTCGAGCAGATCCGTCGATGCGGATTGGATCATATCATCCGGTCTGTCGTTCCCATCTGCCGTGTTTCGGACTGGCCCGGTTTTCGCCGTCCGAACGCTGACCCTTTTAAGCTTATTACGCAGCCTTCCCACGTTTCGATCTTCTGACCGGGATCTTGTCCTCAACTACATCTTCGGAGCTCTTCTTTCTTTTTGTTGGTACTGCCGCCTCTGTCTTCGTCGCGTCCGTCTTTGCAACCTTTGGCAGGCTACGTTTGAGCGCCAGCTTGGGATCAATGCCTTCCTGTTTGAAGATGACGTATGCTACTTTTTCCACGTCTAAGGCGGACACGTTTAGTCTTTTCGTGAGCTTTTCTACTTCCACGTTGAGAGACTCGTATTCCTTCATGTTGTACTTGAGTGATGTTTTTTGGTTCTTGTTGCACAGCCAGTAGTACCACTCGTCGGAGAAGAACATGACTTTCTCACAAAAGTGTACCGCAAGAAGAAGCGAGGCTGTTGCGGGACCGATGCCCTTCAACTTGGTCAGAATGCCCAAAGCCGCTGGAAGGTCACGTGTGTTGTGGTAGCTCGCAACGGCGTTCTGAATAGTCTCCGCAACAGCTGAAGAATCGTTGGATGACACCAATTTCATCAGCGTTGGACGGAATGTCCCATGGCGGCTGCAGCAAATAAATTAGAAAACTCGACTCTTCCAATCATTACGGGAATCGAGGCGCACATGACTCAACGCATGCACACTTATACGAGATTCTTGAAAACGGGGTCCTGCAGCGGAAGCTCCGCAAACACATGTGGTAAGGAAACGCATGATCAAGAAAGACTCGCACTTACAGCTTCCATTCCACTAAGAGTTTCACGTCATCGTGGTTCATTACCCGCTTCGGCTCAAACTCAGAAAACTGTGTCGGGGCCTCGACAAATCGGAAATGGTCCAGTTCTTCCAGGGTCTTTTGGCCAGGCTTGGCTATTGAGAGAAGTCAGGTATCTGCTGGGAAGATCATTGATAATGCGGGGAAGGCCGCGATCGAGGGCCGACATACCGCCTTTGGTGGATGAAATGGATTCGATGAGAGGTTTGTATTCCGAAAGCAGATGCTTGAATTCCTTAGCAGATAGCTTGTCCGGTGACATGATCTTGGGAGTCCAGGTCGCCATGATGCGCGACGTTCCTTGACCACGCCTGGGATCGCGAGTAAATGGGTTCTCAGAGCAAAGAGACGTATGAAGAAGTACGGCAAGGGTATGAGTACGGTCTAATGGAGCCCCCCAGAACAAAGCTTGACGCGCTCCTGAAGGCAGCAAAGAAGTGGATCAGGTCGCGAGGCCAGTACCTAGCTTCGGTTCAACGTAAGGAGCCAGAACCTACACTCAACGACGCGGTGTCAAAGTACTTTGTCGAAAGATAATTAGTTCATGCCTGGGCTCAATCGAACTCGTCTGAGGCTCGTCGTTGATGGAGGGGCGGAAAGCTACAGAGTGAACAAGTCAGGAGAAGCGTGGAAGCTGTAACTCTATTGGGAAAAATGGGTCCGTTGAAACGAAACGAATGACTGACAATACGGATAATGCCAGTTAAGGTACTCAGGCATGTGAAGGAAAGGAGACTGAATGAAACGGCTTCTGTAGCGACATTCCCGGGACGCTACAAACAAAATCCGGCCCAGACTTTCTCCTCAGAAGGGACGACCCACTATTAGCGTGCCGTCGGTGAAGACCCCAGGTGGAGAGTGCGACTGGCACGTTACTGGCCCGGAAGGCCCGTGCCCAAGGACAGTCTGGAATGCCGATCCATGCAGAAGCGCTACGGGGTCGTCCGAGGGGCAGCAGAAAAAAAAAAGGTCAGTCGGTCTGCGCCCGCTTCGAACAACTTCCCCTTCCTCACTTCCCGAAATCTCACGAACTCTTCAAGAACGCGATCGACTCTTTGCACTCGAATCTCCTACACCCTACACTTCAAATTACTCCCACTTCCGACACATATCATCAAAATGGGTAACGTATGTGCACCCAACGAACCCTTCCCCCTCCCCCACCGCTGATCAGGGTCCAAAAATGAGGGGCAGAACCGATGCTGACATTCTGGGGGAATCAGGGCGCAAAGGCTCAGCAGAAGCGTGATCGCAACGCCAAGGACGCGAAGCCCAAGGGCTCTCAGCTCAAGGTGGTACGTATATTCCATTCACAATCGATACCTTTCCTAGGTTCAGACGACTGATACTTCTTGCGACTAGAACGCTGCCGCCAAGGATATCCAGTGCCAGATCTGCAAGTCCACCTTCCTCAAGACTACCAAGGCTCCTGCGTAAGTCGCAAACTTCCTGCTCCTTCCCTCCAATGTCGACTTTGCGACTTTGTCGTCTGCTATTCAGCGTACTGACGTTTGTTCCATGTTAAAAGCCTTACGGAGCACGCCGAGAACAAGCACAGCAAGGGCCTCGCCGACTGCTTCCCCGCCTTCGTCGCCGCATAATTTTGAGAGAGAACAAAGACCGAGAGCGAGGAGAGTCATCAACCGGTTGGAGTTGTGAGGAGTTTTCAGGGGCGAGCATGGCGGTACGGCGTGATGTTGAAGACATGATGGGCGGAATCGGTCAAGATCTGGCCTGGGCATGCAGCGAAAAGGCGTAATTTGAAATTTTGCCCTCATTATTTTCGGAAAATCAAGAAAAAATAGGATTAAACGAGTACACATACCATCACAAGTTGCAGCGCTCATTGAGTTTGGCTGAGCCCACCTTCACCGCCTGCGTGATGTGGCCAACACAACGCGCGAATACACTTGACGAGTTCACATGAACACGAGTCTATCCAGGTATCACTACCACGAGCAGGCAAGACTCTCACGAAGCTTACATATCTATATCTACCCAAGCCTTCAGTGCGCCGGAACAGGAACGGATGAGACCTCTGGAACACCATTCACATCGCCCTTCTCCCCGCTGCCACCACCACCACCGCCGCCAGCAGCTCTAGCCTGCTCCTCGCGAATAGCAGCTAAAATATCCGGGTACCACCTCTCCCCAACATCCGGATGACTCTTCACCCGATTCCTCAAAGTCGCCTCCCCGAGCGTCTTCGCAACCCCGCCCCTCCGGAACGTAAACTCCACATCATCAAGCCTCGCCCCGCCATTCCTCTCCAGCACAAGACGCCTCTGCTCCCGAATATCCTCCGGCACCCGACCGACCCCGACAGTCTCCAGGTCTTCAAAGTCAGCGTCCCCTCTCACCCCCTGGAAAAACGGAATAGAGAACCGCGCGCCCTCGCCAGCAGGCGGGCTGAGCACGCGGTGCGTAGTCGACACGCAGACACCCTGCGACAGCGCTTCGAGTCCTTGCCCGATAGCCACGACCAGCGTACCCTCGACAGGCGGCGCGTCGATCCATTCGCCGCGGACGTTTTGGACCTGTAGGCCGCGGTGGTGGCTTGCTTGTAAGAGGTAGCTGCTCAGCATACTATCCTTATGCGGACCGACACCCTGCCCTTGGATCCCGGGTTCCGAGATACCGAGGTCTTGAAGGTCTGGGTACTTTACGATTTTGAGCTTGTGCTGCTGGTTGGCATCAAAGTACTTGTTGAAGGCGTTGGGGGGCAGTTTGATGGCCTCGGCGATGAGGGAGGTGAAGGCGATGGAGATTTGGCCCATGCGGTCCATGTACTCTGTGAAGGTGGCGCGGAAGCCCGGGAGAGCGGATTCAGAGGGCCATTGGTTTGGGGCGAGGAGGTTGTAGTAGAGGGGATCGTTTGGTCCTGGGAGCGGGTGTTCTGTGGAGAGGTCGATTTGTTCGCGGTGGTCTATTTTACCTGCTGTGATTTCTGCTGAGAGTTGGGAGTAGCCGAGGAAGGATTTGGCGTTCTTCATTTCAATTTGAAGCCTGGTCGGGAGTGTTAGCACACTTACAATCTAAATACAACCTAGAGTCTCATTCTCTAGGTCAAAGGAGCGCATTGTACTTTTCCTCGGTGGGTATATCAAAGAAGCTCTTGCCTTCCTTGATCACCCTCTTGAACAGCTCGTCGGGAATACCAACGTTCTTGAGGTACAGGAACCCGACCTCCATGAGTGCGTAGCGCAAATCGACGAGAAATTGCGGCTTCGTCTCGGGGTCCTGCGCCAAGGCGAGGTCGAGAATCGGAATGGATGTGAAAGACATACTGATGTGTCTCACCCCTGTTGTCTCATAATCTACTGGGATTTGAAACGGTCAAGATCGGAGCTCTAGATCTGAGGAGCCGAGCCAAGAACGGCAGAACCACGAAAGCTTCAAAGAAGAATGATGGCGTATCACTTCGTGTTGATATTGCAATCACACTCTCAGAATGTTAGTGGTATGATCCGAGGCAAAAAGCTCCATCCGAGGCTGCATCAGCACGTCGCTGTCAAGTAAGCCGTCGTTTGAGCAATTGGGCAACGGGATGGCGTAATGCGGGCGGTGGGGCATCTCGCCGATCGGCTTGCCCCGCAATTCGGCGCGGCGGGGTCACCGAATAACCGGCGGGTATCTATATTCAATGTGACCGCTGCCCAACCCTCGTAGCCGCCAGAGACGCGAAAGCGACACAACACCAGTCTCCACTAGCAGCTACGGGGTTGCAATCCTTCATCATGCCACGGGTAGCTTGTTTTCCTTTCTACTTGCATTTATCTATCATAGTAGGACCAAGTGACTGCCTATACCTACCAACCCAAAATCACCCAAACAAACTAAAAAAGAGTTCACCACCGGTGTGGCTACATCTCTTGGTGCTCATGCTGGAATTCGAACTCGGGTACTCGCTAAGCCTGTCGTCGAGTAGGCTGGTTGGCGTAGAATTTAAATGTTGACCATTAACCACTCCACCACCCAGCCAGTTTGACCTGACCCGTCGACCTGGACGGACGCCTCCTGGCTGGTGACTGGAATGGGAATGAGGGGGTCTATATACCCTTCTCGTGGCAGGTGTGGAAGGCAGGAGCCAGGCAGGGTGGTCTGGCTGTGCCTGCTTGACACCGGACAGTACACATCTAGCGCAGCCATGATGAGGAACACGCCGGTATTTCGTGCGGGACCCTGGAGTCGAAGGAGACGTTTACTATTCAGGCCAATCGAGCAAACCTCTGCGGAAGAAACCCTCTTTGAAGATCCAAATGCTTTTACTACATTCTTCTATTATCGGGTATAATGCACATATTTTGACAACTTTTGTTTAGCCGTTTCATGACCCCAGAGGCTTCGTCGCCAGTAACCCCGTAACCTTGTAGAACATGTCCTCAACCGAGGGCATGGCAAAAGCCGGCGCCGCGTCAAACAGCTCGGCAAGCTTTTGCCTGTTGATGACGGCCGGCTGGGCGTCGTCATCATCTAAATCCATCTCTTCTCCGTTCACAGCCTCCGTCTCCTCCTCATTGTCGCTGGCCATCTCCTCATCCTCGATGGCATCGTCCAAAATCGCGTCGTCGGCGACCGGCTCACTATCCAACTGCATGTCCTCCAATGGCCTGGAGAGGGCAACAGCGGCGGGATCCGAGGCCTCGGCGACTGTCCACAGTTGCGCAGCATCGTCGACCGCTACGAAGCCTGATGAGCTTCCGGTCGAGACGAGACTGGTGATGCGATGGGGAATGCGCCTCACACACAGCAGCGCGGGCTCTTCTGGCTTGAAAACTGCAAGCTGCGATGCTTGGCCGCCGGGCACGACAACGGCAAACGCCCGTGATTTGCGGTCAATAGCCAAGTGGCTAAACTCCTTGACTGCCGTGGCGTTGCGGCCGCTGGGCAGCTGGATGCCGTACTGTAGCTCGTCGGAGACCACATCAAACACTCTCAGGTCATCCGAGAGGGTGATGATGTATGGAGAGAGAACCTGGAGGCGGCGGATATGGCCCTTCCACAGGTTTTCCAGTGTTGACCTAATCTCACCAGTCTTGGTATCGATCACATAGATGCCGCCGTCGTCTGAGTGGCCAAAGGCAACAAATAGTGTCGAGCCATCCTCGGAAAAGCACAGGCTCCCACTACGCTCGCCCGTCGTCTCTCCAGTGGTGGTAAGCGCATCAGCTCCCACATTACCTCCGAGACCAACAGTCACAGTGCATGACCACGAGTGCAGAGCCTCGCCAGCGTTGTCCTTGGACGCGATGCCGTCTTGCTGCCTTGTTTTTGACTGCCATATCCGCGCCATGCCATCGTCTCCAAGGGTGGCAAATCTGTTTGTTGTGTGGTCTGCCGCAAGCGCCAGAACCGTCTCTGGCCGACTTGTGACGTGCGGGCTGTTGATTCTGGAAGACAGGGCAAAGTGCTCTTCGCCAGCAGTTGCAGACCAGAACTTGAGGTAGATCTCGCGCCTTTCTCTCACAAACTGCTCGCGCGCTTCTGGGGCCACCTTCTCAAGATCACGCCTAGGGGGTTGCCAATCATCAACGGTCGCCAACCACCTGCCGTCTTGCGAGAATGCGACATGGGTTATACGAGGCTCTGAAATGGGGTTGCCCTTGGACGTAATATTAACATCTGTCGGCTGCGTTCTTGCCAGAGCTTGCTTGGAGACACTCCGGAACGACTCCATGTCGAATGATTGCAATAAGGGTGCTGACTGGATCTCGCCAGCCAACATAGACTGCTGGCCAGTTCCTGTGCAGACGTACAGTCTTGATGGCTCCGCAGGGTTGAGTGCAGCAGGGACCGGATGCCGCACCTCGTCGGAAACAGACCAGAGACGCTTGACGAGCAAGTCCTTTGGCGTAGAGGTAAACCGAGCGGCTGACTGAATACCGGAGATGTACGTCGATGGCTTCATCTCAGACGTGGACAAGACCATAGCAGAGTTGTCATCCAAGTGCACTGCGTAGGAAGCTCCAGTGGGAGACACAACGATGTTCTCGATACTTCCCGACAGGTGAGGAAGGAAGTCTTTCCTACCTGTATCCATCTGCCAGAGCACGAGGACGTTTTCCGAACCACCGGAAATCATGTACTGACCTGTAGCGCCCGTTAGTGTTTGAAAATGATGGCAAATAGCAGCTGAAAGTTCTTACCATCCTTTGACCACTTCACGCTGTGGACAGCCCTCCTGTGCCAGTGGAATTTGCGGCTCTGAAGAGCCTCCCTCTTCGACTTTGACCCATTGAGGTTCTGCAGTTTTCTAAAGATGTCGTCGTAGAAGTAGATGGCACCTCGGGCACCACCCGCAATCAGGTCGAGAATAAGAGAGTTGTCCTTGCTGTGTGTAACTCGGATATCGAGGGCGCAGATAATATCGGTTGTGTCGAAGGCAAAGAACTCCCACTCGGACCCCGGCGTCCCAGTTCCGACAACGAGACCATCCTTGGTAGCTCCGACAATGACCTTGCCATCGGGGCTAGAGCGCAGCAAGTGCATCGACTGGTCGACCTGCTTTGTAGCAAAGAGGACCTCGGCGACGGGCTGCTTGAAATCGGGGCCGCTGTATGCGACAACTTCACCCTTTGCGTGCTTCTTCCCCTCCGAGATGTACAGAACCTCCGTCGTCTTCTTGTCTCCCTTGATTGTTGCCACGGACAGATCCAGCGCCGTTTGCGACTGGGTCCGGAACTCGTCGTAGACACCGGTTCCTTTCTTCCAGTTCACCCGCCAGACCCTACCATCAGAGCAGGCCACCCAGAGGAAGTCGGGCTTGAGTTGCGATTGGCGCGTGGCCACGATCGTGGGGGCAGACGACTTCTCCGCATATGTGTTTTGGACCACCGGAAGGGCGATTCTTCGGATCAATAGTGACTCGGCCACCGAGTAGATTTGCAAGGATGTGTTGTAAGTGACAATGAGGTACCTGGTTTCTCTCGTGTTAGACCCAAAAAGCCAACGAAGAAACGTCAGTTAAATTGGCACTTACTTCTCATTCTCAGCAAAGATGGGATCAATGTCAGCCATTCGCCCGCCCATCGGCAGAGACACTTGCCATCCCGCTTCCTGGGCCTCCGTGTTTCCAAGCTTGACCAGCTCGGTCTCGATCTGGTCGTCGGTAAGGTTCTTCCGAAGCTGCGAAAGCACGTTCAAGGCGCCGTCGCGAAGATCGTCGGCGTCCGTGTTTCCGTTCTTTTGGCCATTTGCTGTGCCCGCTTTGGTCTTTTGCCGGAGGCGCTTCGCCTGCCCGTCCCTCTCATTCTGCTCTCTCTTACGCTTCTTTTGGTCCTCCCGACTTCTCGGAGTCGAAGGGCCAGCCATGGTGTAGGTATCAACTTGCGCAAAGCCGAAGAATGATGTATGAGCACCAGTCAATTGAACGTCGCAGAAATCTCGAGGCGAGGAGACAAGGAAGGGAAGCTGGCGGCCTGGAGACGTTTCTTTCGTTCGGTAGTCTCTGGCTTTCGATCCTGCTCTGTTTCGCACACGACCCTTCTTTCGTTCCTGCTAAGAAAAAAAAAAGTTCGAGAGTTCCCAAAGAAATTTTGGTCCCGCTCAGTCGCCCGGCCATGCAATTGGTGGGACCTCCCCCACAATCAACACTGATAAGATAAGAAGCGGAGGAAATCACGGACCGACAAATTTTCTGGTCGCGCGCCTCCCATTTGCAATCGACAGGAAGGCCCCGAAGTTTCTTTGACGACGGCGACGACTCGGAAGGCAACAGTCTCAGCACATCAACCCGCGCAACACCTCGAAAAGGGACGTACGGGCACCGCTTCGCTCTCTCAGTAATCGAACCTCAACCTGCTACAGCTTCGTTTTCGACTTCCTCACTCAAGATGATTATCCCCGTTCGCTGCTTCTCCTGCGGCAAGGTTCGTGGACACGATAATCGCATGCAATTGAAGCTTGTTGTCTGACTTGTGTTGTCAGGTCACTGGAGACCTGTGGGAGCGCTACCTCAAGCTCATCGACGACGGCATTACGGACGGGTGAGTTACGACGATCACGGTTCTGGATTGCGATTGCGACACACCATAACTAACGTGCACGTCAATAGCGACGCGATGGACCAGCTAGGCCTGAAGCGCTACTGCTGCCGCCGTATGGTCATGACCCACGTCGACCTCATCGAGAAGCTCCTCAAGTATGCATATCCTTGGAAACAGCATGCGCCGAATCGCTCTTTGAAGCTTACAACCCCCCTACAGGTACACCCCCGACGGTCGCAACGAGAAGAAGATGTCCTTGAACCCGTAAACTCGCCAGGGATGGATTTCACGAATTGGAGTTTTGGAAAACATTGGCATTGCAAGGCGTTAGGGAATCTCAGGGGAGGGCAGAGGACGCTGCGTGAAGATGAGAAAAGCCGTGGGCTCGAGCCGTACCATAGCGACGTTAGCGGACATGGTCTTACTATAGATGGGAAGCTTTCGTCTCTGATTCCCATGGGTAGTGAGAACCAGCCGCCTCGAAACAAGCTCATCAAGAGGTGGCACAGGGCATGTCGTTCGGCAATGGGATAGCCGTTGCAACCCCGCCACATGGAAATGGAGAGTGGCTGGAAATGTACGCAGGAATGCTATCTCGGAAGGTCTCGATTCTTCAAGATGGCTTTACGAGCCCTTGCGTCGCCCGTCATGTGATTAGACAGCATGTTGGGTCCCAGTCAATGGATGAAACCCCTGGTCGGTAGTACCAGTCTTGTTTGCCGGATGGTCTCGTTTCTCACATTGACAACTTTTCGAGAATTCCCTCCAACAAAGAACGCAGCTATACCAGGCGACCTATGAGACAGGCATCCGCATGTGTGCAGCAGTGCCACACTTCAGCAATGTTTCAATGCTCTAGCAGAATCACTGGTTGTCACCGAGTCTGAATGTAGCGCATCGCTTTAATCTGGCGGTCAAGGCAGAGGTAACAGCCACTACGCAAAAGCAGCTTCATGACAATCCGTCTAGCCGCTATCCGCTGACCACATTCGCCTTGCTGCAACAGCATCTGGTGGGTGGTGGGACGGTGCTATATGGACGAAGAATATCGTATCCAGCACAGCCTGTATCGGCCAAAGAGCCTCCAGCCTCTATCCGTCAGTGACGTTGTACAACAGGCTCACTCTGGGGGCCAGAAATAAGACCCAAGGCGGAGTTCACCGGTTGAACCTCCGCGATTGTTCTGGGCTCTGCAGAAAAACAGACAGTCCGGGTACACGACCCGTTAGAGCCCAAGTCAGTCTGCCGATTTCTGCCTGGTGCTTGTTTTGATTGCTGAATCCTGGTCAGCGGTGACCCATCCTTCATCGTTTTTTCTTTTCGCGTGATGCTCCAAGCACCAACGGATACATGGGTCCAGCAAGACAGCGGGTGCAAAGTGCTGTGCTGGCCGTGTAGCAGTGGCTAACTCGAAGACCCGAGGGTTTGGGAATGGCGCAGTGGTGGTTTTTGCCGCGAGATGCACCAACAAGATTTCCGGAATGGGACGATATCCGCCGAAACTTTCATTTCACGGATGGTGGTGATTTGTCGCAGGGCACAGGGTACCTCCAACAAGCCTTGGTTTGCTGCACGGCGTTCAGAGACTGGAGATACGTCCGCCTGGCCGAACTGGACTGGCGCATATGCGGAACCGGAAGATCGCCCATAGATAAGCAAAACGTAGTAACGTCAAGTCCCGCAGCTTCATGGCATCGAGTTGAATTCGTATGAGCACAACATTGCTTCAAATCCCGAGGTCGAGCAACTGGCGCAGCCGCGAAAGGATTCGACTTTAGCGCGCAACTGCTACTGCGACTGGCTGTCCTGTGTCCAAAATTGCAGTTTTCTACATGTCGTACAGAGAAAGACCATACTGCATGAGGAGTGTTGAGCCGTAGGGAATCCGCAGAGCTGCTTGTTGGCGCCTACGCGCGTCGGACTGCATGCGTGATGCGGTCGTGGCGTCAGGGATACCGCGAAACAAGCAGAGACCCCCGGCTAGTCGCAGGCCAGCATTCGGGAGGGGAGGGCTCGTGGAGAATGAAGAGGGAAAACATCGCGTATCACCCTTGGCTAGTTGTTGGTTCCCTTTCGCTCTTGATATCTGGAAAATGAGTTTGCCGCAGGCGTCGGCGATATTGACATTGTATCTGATCCTTCGAACTGAGGAGGGGTGGTGGGAGCCAGGGAGAATAGTCCGGGCCCTCCATCGACGATCAGCAAACTGGTGCCCGGTCACGGATTCCTGGGTCCTGGAGGCTGGAGCTGGCACACCCCACCGGGTCGCCGGGGTCGAGGTGGTTTGCTTTTAACAAAAGTCGTGCTAGCGCTGTGATCAGTCGAAGGCACCTACATGACACCCTAGGCACTACTGTACTAAACTGATGGCTAGAACGGAATTCTTCAAGGAAATGACGGTCTCGATGAACGATGAAAGTTCGTGTTCAGGGCTAGCAATTGTATGTCTTCCATGTTTGAGCAATTTGTGAAGCGTAGATAAGTTTGCGAAGCGAGCTGTTGTCAGGTGATGAGTCTAGCTGCGAGACATCGACGGGTCGCCAAGGACCCTGACAGGGGCGGGGGATTTCTCAAGCAACATAATTGTTGGGATGCTTGGCCGGATCTTGTTATCCGTTCCTTTGAATTAGGTCTTAGGATAACAGACGGGGGTTTTAAAGGCGTGTAGTCCAGGTTCTCTCAGTCTTGCGGAATAGTTCTCCGGGGTAAGTACGAAGGCGTTTTGTACTCCGTAGGTAAGGTGGTAAAGTACCTAGGTCGTAAGCCCGCTCTCTGCCACTTCTTACAGGACCGAACATGAAGACGTCAGAATAATACTGAGTCACTGGTATCAAATTCGGGTATTTTCTCCTCTGAGCTCTATTCCGTACATGAGAACTAACCAGACATTGCGTGCATCCACGTAGTACTTTAGTCAAGGTAGACTGCTGCCCGGCTACCGTAGCCAGGTGATAGAGTCTGGCTTGGGTAGCATAACTTGAGGATTGAGGTAGCTGTCGAAGAAAGACTCGAACCAACAGTCAATGCACAACCAACGGTGAAGGAGGGATACGTTCCCGCCAGTAGGATTTGAAGCCGCAACGGGCCCGGGCTTCCATCCCATCCCCATCCTATCCCTACCACGGACGGTTTAGACAAACGGTAGGCTTGGATGTGGCCTGTCAGACCTAGCGTGTGAATGAAGGTCGATCAGGGCCCACTCTGTGTCGAACGGTGCGTGGTGCCCTACAAATTTCTCCTTCTTTTCGCCCCTTCAATACTGAGGAAACGCCGTCCCAGATTGTCGGAATCCGTGTTGCCATGAATAGAATACAGAAGCGGGGATTCGAGTACATCATTTCGTGATGCGTGGCAGACACGTTGGCTCGTGAATTCTTGTCTTGTACCCTCATAAAGCGATTAGCATTCTGTTGATTAGCACACGATGGTGAAGTAAGGTAGAGGCCGGCGTAAAGGTACATCACCAACCACCTCTCTCTCAGAGTCATACCTGGTGGACGGACGGGCAGGACTTGACCCGATGTCTATTGACCTGATTCAGCTGATCTTCGCGCGGAGAAATCCATCCCAATCACACGGTCCAAGTTGGTTCGGACAATGCGGGAGAAGCGCGGCTTTGTTTGTTTTGCGGCCGAGCGACTCGTATCACATTTTTGCAAGTCCTCGTCGAGAATTGAAGGTCGAGGGAGGGCGGGCGAGGCCTTTCTTGGTCCCGTTACGCTGGAGCCGACTAATGAGGTTGCAATCCACCGCAACCTGCGCTGGTGAAGTGAAGAGGTAGGAAGGTGCTGGGCATCTGCTCCCAAGTCCCCAACAGAGCTCCTCCCCGCCTCGCACACACATATTCCCACCAGGGCGGCAAACAGGGACCGAGACTGGTAACGAAGACGTCCACGACAACGGACGGGCAGAGCCGTTCACAATCGCGCACGCGCATGTCACGGCCCCCAAATGGACAGTACATAAGCAGCTCCAGGTAGCGTGACTGTCTTTCCGCGTCTTCAATGACACGGCATCGTCAGATTGGCCCGCGAATCTCTCTGATGGGGGTACGAGACGGTGTTGGGGGAGGTTGCGAGAGATATCCGCCCATCCATCCCCGATATGCGAGCAAGCACACTGCACGCAATCAGAAGAGGGACAAAAGTCCCAATTCAGACATGCAGGCCGCGGTCGATACCGTAGGGCCCAGCATACCGGCTCGTTCTAAGGCTCTAAACAGCTTGTCGCTGCCGGCCTCAATTTCTGGTCGATCACGGTGGAGTACGTTTTCTCTGACCAGGTGGTTCTGATAAGATGGGTAGGAATTGGAATTAGTAGTAGTGACGAAGAATTCTCGTGAAAGTTGTCCCACGTCAGAGTCGAATTGAGGTGTAAGGAAGCACGGGTGCTCAGGAAAGGTAGACATGGAACTCCTCAATGCCACCACAATGTCCACCATAATGTCAATTAGGGCAGTCTCGCTACCCGAGGTCAGATACGTTCCTTCCATGCCTACGTTACACCTGACATTTAGTTCCGCAAGCAGCAAGTCCAGGGAAGAGACGGTGGTCGAGATACACGGTACATCTGAAGCTGAGGAAGGTTCCCTTCCCTGCTGTTGCCTCCGGCGCAGCGGTGGTGGCCCTGGATCTTTCCTTCTTGGCCGGGCGCCCCTTGCCTTTTCATCACCCCTCCAAGCTTAAGGCAAGCCCCTCCGTCCCAAGTGGGGCCGTCATGTGCAGGGGTTGGTTGTGGTTCACTGGCACGACTGGATGAAGCGAGACCCACCTTTGCTAAGCGCCGACGCCTGTCTGCTTCATGCAGCCCACAGCTCGACGTCGCTCTTCTCATCCACCGACACCACCTTGTGCCCAACTCTGAGTGGTTGAACCCGTCGGGAGGTGCGCTGCTGTGTCCATGGGAGAAGACGCGCAGCTGCATCTCTGACTGGTTCATCCATCGCCTTCTATATGCTGCCCGGTGCCTGCCTTAACCCGGCTCAGGTTCGTGGAGTACCCTGGGAAAGAAGAAGAATGCGCAGAAAATGGTGGTTGTCTACGACTGAGGTGCGGCCGGAGCAGCTCGCGGATTGGATCCCACCCCGTGGAGCTCTCTTCTTCGTGAGCACCTCGGCCTTGTCTACTTCGACGACTTGACTTCTTAGCCTTCTTCCCTTCGTCCTGTCGGATCACTCTCCTCTGCCAGCGAACGCTACGACGATCCATTTCGGGTCCCTCTTCTGATTCATTACCATGTGAGGTGCCTGTCCATAGGGCGGAGCGGAACTCGGTCAACCATTCAGACGATACACAAATTTCTGCCATTTCTGACTTGGCATTCCTCCACAACTCGAATCCATTTTGTCTTGCTCGTTGAGAAGCACAGTGAACACAGATTTCTATCGCTGCTCGTTTCCATTTCCTGCAACCATACCAATTCTTCGCCGTTCTGTTGGAGGGCTGGCCTCTTTCTTTACCCGTACCACCGAACCGCCCGCCTCTGTGCCACCTGTGTCTGTACTGTGGAGGTTAGACATCCACATCAACCGCATCGTCTCAAATCAGCTGTCGGCTACTATTTTGTCTGTCGACTTTGTTTCTTCCATTCTGTCAACTTTGGCTTCTCTTCCCCGGCTGCCCGAGACTGCATAGACGACGAAGCCATCGGTGGAGCCGTGCTCGTCACCTGTTTGGTTGAATCTTAGCCGCAGCTCTCTCTCAACCGCCCTTCCCAAGAGACGAGCATATTGCAGCATACCTACCTAAGCTTAGTCGCAGAGACAGACGCACAGCTCTCAGCCTGATCTGGCTCTCTGAAATCCTCCCAATTTTTTCCATCAAGGCGGTAGTCGCGTTGCCCCCAGGTCCATCCAACTCGCCTTCCCCATATATTTACCCTTCAACCGTCAGGATCGCTATTTGGGTACCCCTGCTGCGAGTAGAGACCCGCCGCGACGCAGCGAAACCAAACCTGGCCCTGTCGATATTTCGCGTGAGCGAGGCACAGACACGGTCAGCTAGGGTCGGCCTGGAGCCCCCCCGGTCTCCGTACCGTTGCTCTTCCCAGCACTGAGGTAGCAGTAGGCACAGCTCCTCTTAAACTGCCCTCCCCACCCTCTCGCTCTCGAGCTTCTTCACTTTCGAGCCTGCTGTTGCTAGTCTGGAAGCTTGATGATCGCCGGGCCGTCGTCTACGAGACCCTCCAGCACTGATTTATTCCTTCGCCTCGACGGCCTTTAGGATCACGACCAACACCACTTAGCCAGTGCGGCCCAGCAGTAGACCCAACCGACCAGAAAGCAAACTACGTGGGGCTCTCGAGGCATTCTCTGGATTGACAACCGCCGAGTACCAGTCTGCTGGACTGCCCGTCCGACTTCCATCGCTGCCTGTGCCAGTGCCGGAAGGTTGTCGCATACAAACGAGTCGATAGACTGACGATGGCACTCGAAGCCCCCCTCCGGTCGTCTATCGGAAGTCAAATATCTACTTATTCCCATCATAACGACATGTCTGTCTCGTCTCCCGATAACGGTTCTTTCCAATCACCTTTCGCCAGCATGTAAGCTATCATGGCCATACCGTACTGTTGTAGTATCAAAGCTTACATATGAACATAGGTCTTCGAACGCTTCAGACCACTCCGGCCGCAATTCACTGCGTCCCAACTCCATTCAGAGGGTTCCCTCGACGAACTTGAACTTGATGAGCCCGAGCGATATTGTTGGACCTTCACCAGTCACCTCGACTGGTACTGAGACGACGGAAATTGAGGACGAAGAGGCAGAGGAGGTCCAGGCCCGGCCTAATCTTACCAATCCGGCACCACACCCCCAAGTTTGTCTTCTTCATGCCATTTGAGAGGCAGGCAACGTAACTGACTATTCTAGCTCATGATGCTCTCGACCAACATTCCCGATCATCTGCGGCAGAGTAGTAGTGAAGAAGCTGTATCAGTCATCCATGCGCCAGAAAGCTTTCACAGCTGGGTAAGCATCTCATGGAACCTTCTTTTTCAAATGAGCAAAGACTGAACGTGAGCCAGACTTCTACGGAGCCGACAGTGAGGCCAGATCAAAGTAGCACGAGATCATCACCCAAGACAGATACCATGAGTCTTCCATCCGTCACAGATCATGCAATCAAGGTACGGTTGCTCCAAAGCTTCACCTAAGGCTTTTCAAATACTGAACTAGAACAGTCGAGATCTCCTGGGCTACCTACGCCGCCTCCCCTTTCGACAGATATCAGACCCGTTCGATACAGCTTGGACAGCGCCACCCCGCGCGCGCAAGACCTTCACGACATGCTTAATGAGTCATCTCGGCTTAGGTCCAGCAGCACAAGTAGCCTTGAAAGTTTGTACATACTAGATGCTCATACAAAGACGAAGAAGTCTAACACGAAACAGAAATCGACGAAGCTAGAGAAGTAGAGACCGATACCGAAAACTACGATGAAGAGCCGTTCGCCACCCCCGCCCTACCTCAAGAAGATTCGGAAATCAGGGCTCTACGAACCGCTCTCCAAGAGTGCTGGACTTTGTGTAACACGCTGGCCAACTTGAGCTCGATTCATCGAACACGGATGTTCAACAGCTCCGGCACCCCGGATGCTCACGAAAAAGCTTGGATGGCGTGCTGGAGGCTTTGCCAACGCCTGTATGACAACCGCGACGAAGACCACTATGATCACCACGTACGAGAGAACCTCGATCATTGCCGGGATTTTTGCCAGTCCCTCTTCGACGTCCGCCAGAGGAAGGATGAAGTTGCCGATTCTGTTTTGAGAGTCAGTTTTGAACTGAATAATCAGTGAGCCATTCCAGAGATTGACAAATGTTGGACAAATTAGCTGACCGTGTTCCAGTCTTTATAGCGCTCAGGACATCCAGAACCTCCCGGAGCCCTTCCGCGAACGTACCCTAGATTTCTACATCACTCTTTGTCATCGATTGATGAAGCAGCGAAGCGAGTTGGCCGATGAGACGGACTCTTTGCTGAAGGCGTGTTGGTCGCTTGCCGAGATGCTTTTCAGTCTGAGACAGAACAAGCGTGACGGAAGAGCGCCTGACGAGGAGCTTCTCTGTTCAGCGGTACAGGCATGCTGGGAGCTTTGCGACCTTTTCAGAGACGGTTGGACCCAGGTCCGGCCAGACCGAAACACTCCGCGACCGAGCCAGACAAGCTTCTTCGGCCACCAGCAACAGTATGATCAACCTGCACGAGGTGAGAGTAGAGCGTCGAACCGATCGTCTTATTCGAAGAGGGAAAGTCACAAAAGCCTGACCGAAGAGCGCCCACGAAAGCCACCACCAGTTCCAGAAACTCCTGTGACCGAATTTGAAGACACACCAATTTCCCCAGAGAGCTCCTCTCCTCGGGTGCCAAACATCCTCGTTCTTGGTACAACGTCAGATAGCGGGCGTGGAGGCCGGTGGTCAAGCAGTGCTTCGCAACTGTCGAGCTACTCGCAAAGCAGTAACAAGACATCCAGCACAGCAACAACGACCACGGCAGGCGAGGACAGCAA